GCGCCTTCATCCAGTCATGTCATCTTCCAAGCCAGTGACTAACAAATCAACGACGAGAGCGTTTACAACCAAACTGAAAGCAAACAGAGAAAGCCAAGTCCAGAATTATTTCTTTAAAACAAGCTGATCACTATATTCACAGTCTGCGAAGTCTTTAAACACCCCGTATCGTGGAAAACTGAATTTCCTCACTTAATTAAGTTTGATGTAGCCAAAATTTCAAAACATTATGTTCACATACAAACTAAGCTGCCAAAACAATGTTTTAAATTCTTTCTGTGATGTCACATTTACATACATCCACCTACTCAGCCAACAGTAGTTCAGCCCCATCAACTCACAGTAAGGTTATAAGGAGTGTTTCTGAAGCCTGAATGGACTGGATGAGGCACAGTACAGAGGCAATACAAGCCAATCAGAACAAACCTTATTTAAGTATAGCGGTCTAAAAGGCAAAGAAACAAAAAAAAACAGCCAGAGCCCAGTTTTCCAAAAGCATCTTAGTGTTAAGGTCATCTTTACTGGTAGAGAGAGTGTTCAGTGTGATGCTCGGTCCACCATTTACTGGAGGAAATATTAAACACACTGACTATATCTACGAGGATTTAGCTTGCCAAGATATTTATTATTGCAGTCCAAAAACGAGCACTATGGCCAAAACATGACACTATGACACTTGAAGACGGTTTCACATGATGTGCATCAAAATATGTAGTAATTGCAAGGTTTGAGAAAAGGCACCAGCGGTGACACAATTATTTCTTTTTAAATTCAAAATTAAACAATTGGTAAAAAATAAAATAAGAATAAAAGAATAAACTAAGACACTGTCATAACAGGCTGCGGATAAAAGCATATGAAAAAAGTGTGCCCTTACAAACATTTACACAAACCATCTTCAAAAACAAGAGAGTAAAGAGTTCATTTTTGGAGAGAGGGGAAAAACGTGAAGCTTTCCTCTTCGTTTTCTGTACATTCTGGTTTGAATACTGCAAACTAGCGCTCACGTAAATCTAGTGCTCATGTTAATTTAGTGCTTAGGTTCACATTACATGAAAGCATGCTGGCAGACACCTAGACGTCAGAGCACAACACCCGCACATATCTGCAGACATGCAGATGCACAAGTATAATTACATAAATCTGCCTTTACAGTGCAGTTTTTGCAGTCACTGTGCACTGACCGCTGTTTAAAGGCCATCTATAACTACAGTTGTTCAGTGTTCAAGAAACAAGGTCCAACTAATACGAATGTTTTGTGGCCAATACAGATATTAGACAAAATAATTATTATATCTACGTTTTAGATTTTAGTTTTAAACTACAATAGTGCTTTACTGACTGAAGTATAAAGACTATGCTGATTAAGACTATGCTGATTCTGATATTATCACCCAACCGGTATATCGGTGAGGCCCTTATCATGATAATGATAACAAATCATCACATCGCCCACCCCTCTTCACATCTATGAGGCTCAACATCACCAAGCGCTGAGATAGCAAAACAGAGCGGATCCACTGATTACTACAGGATTAATAAGCTGTTATTAACCAGGCATCCATGTGCTGAAGGACAGGATCTAGCGGTAAGACAATAATGAATTAGCCACCAGAGCCAACAGCAACAGATGCAGGGAAGTACAATGATGGGGAAAAAAAAGTCTCAGCAGGATGGGCAGGGCAAGAGGAGAATCTGAAGAGAGAAAAAGGGTGGGGTGTGAGAGGAACCAGGCTGCGATATCAAAAAACAACATGCATGAAGAGCCTTAGGACCGGAGAACTTCGCAGACTCTTTAAAGGATCAGAAAGGCGGGTGGAAGACGTTTATATGGACACTGTGCAAGCCAGGACCGACAACAGTTAGTGACAAGGGGTTTAAATCCCTGAGCTCATTTACAATTCTTTAGGAAACGATTCGCTAAAACATGAAATCTGGAAGTCCACCATGATTCAATCAAACTATTTTGGGCTCTTGGTTTCTTCCCATTTGAATGAAAACTAGCAGGGCTGTGTCAAAATAGCTCCCACAGGCATTATTATTATTACTATTATTATTATTATTTAAGGGGAATTACGTTGATTTTTAAATACTTTTTTTTAACAACTCAACGATTCAAAAGTCATTCAGAGTGTTTTCATGTAAAATGGTGAATTGTAGAGAAATACAACGACTCAGATTTCTTTACAGTGGTGGTGACAGGAACCAGCGGTTGTGATATCTACATCACAAATATTGCCATTTTATTTACTATCCAAAACTGCCCGTGAACCCTTAGGTGTCTTCTGAATTTTTAACGTTGATGTAACGTTGATAATAGTAAAATAATGGTACAACGAAAAATAAGTTTCATTCTGATACTAGTTTGGATTTAAAAACATATGTTTTAGGCCGCAACCTGATCTCAAATCTATCATAGAACAATGTCTCAGGCATCAGGCAACACGTTAACAATTTCCTCTAATAACTTTCATTAATTGTTCTTAATGCAAAAATCCCAACTTCATATTTGATTTCCATCGCTATGCTAATGCTAATTTCTGCTGCCATCTCTATGAGATTTTAAGTGTTGTGTTGGCTAACTAGTTTAGTCAGTAGTTTTAAGTTTAAAGTAATGGAGCAATAGGTTTGCATTTAGTCTAAATTTAGGGTAAAACTAAAATGACAGTTTATCTGTAGCCCTGATTGTATAAAGTTTGGTGCAACTGCTTAATAAATAAACCTTGATTTAATCCCAATCTTAAGATCAATCTCTGTTGGTGCAATCCATATTAAGACTTAACAACCCATACTAAAACATAACATTCTGGCTACAAAAACGGGTGCACACTGTACTTAATGTCACCGTCACATTTCAAAATGAACACATATGAACTACCAAATTCAGTCAGATGCATTATGTCGCAGCAACACAGCAGGACTGTATATGTACAGGCATGTAAAGAGCAGCATCAGGAGTTCCACATAACACACCCACACACGCACCTCCAACAGCCCACACTGCTTCACTCAGACTTTCATTTTCAGCTCAGTGTTTTCCAGCAACACAAAGGAATGGAAAGTCTCTCGCTCTCCCGGCAGACGAGGAACTCATGCATTTCCTGTTTGGTGTGGTGGCTGGGAAGGCCTGGGGAATGCCTGAGCTATTCTCCTCCTTCCATTCTTCACTGCTGCAGTGATCTCGCCCTGCAATCATCCTCCATCTTACGCACTACCCCCATCCAACATCCTTCACTCAAAACCCCCGAACAGCTGCTTTTCGACAACCACCTCCTGAGACAATGACACTTTTTACAAGTGCTGCAAAGTGTAATGCAGTATATATCAATCTCCAGAAGTGCAACAATACACTCGGCCCATGAATCAATTCGAACAACACCAGAGCTGCGAGGCAGGAGGAGTTACTGAGTGAGTCGTTCACTGGTGCGACTGCTTGCAAACACTGGTGTTTAAACAGTGCTGCTGCATTAGATAGCATTTTAAATAGAATGTCCACTACCCACGATGCATTGTCACACCTCCAGAATGCACACTGTCACAGTTCTGCATTGTGATATCTCACGATGCTACACCCTACCATTCACTCCTCAGTCCATCCAGTCCATATATGGAAACTAAGCTGCAAAAAGAGCATGTTTTGAATCCAGTGATTTTATGATGTCACAAAAACCAACGTATTATGATGACTCCGCCTATTCAGCTTAGAGCGGTTCAGCTCTAATGATTCATGCTGAAGTTATGAGAAGAGTTTCAGCCTGTGTTTTAAATGAGTCAGGATACACGGCAGCCAATCAGAAGAGGTCACTGACACATATCTGTCTTACACAGAAGCAAAAAATGACATTTCAACCGTTTGTTTCTGTGACTTTAAGACAGATATATGTAAATGACCTCTGTTCTGATTGGCTGCCCTGTATTCTGACTCATTCAAAATGCAGAGTGATTCATGCTGAAGCTACAAGGAGAGTTTCACTCTGCATTTTGAATGAGTAAGAATACAGGGCAGCCAATCAGAACAGAGGTTGTTTACATAAATCTGTCTTAAGGGCAAAAATGACATTTTTTTGGTAAATAAATCCACACGAATGTAAGAAAATGGACCAAGACAAATTTAGGATATGAACCCTTCACAAGACACACTGGTGCCTTTTGTGTGTCTTTGGCCAGCATTATTTTGCCCAAAAATAATGCTGGCCAAAAGTTATTTTGACAAACACGGATTCCTTCACAAGATTTTAAAAAATACAAACACTGCACCAAATAAAACAAATATAAATGCAAATGAATAGGTGTCTGCATCTAGTTCTGTTTTTTGCTGCAAGAGATACTTTTTTTTTTTTTTAATAAATTAACTGTGTGGAGGGCTCATTTGCATGATGTACCCCTTTGACCCATAAGTATGGCAAAGGCCGGTATTGTAATAAGAATTAACAAGCAATGTGTAGTGCCACAGTATGTTTCACTGTATATGTACTTGAAGAGTTTTGAAGGACACCAGCTCATCTGATCTTGCTTCTGGAGCGTCTCAAACGCACGTCGCAAATTCCCATAGCAATACTGAACGCAACTCTAAGCAGCTTTGCTCATACAGTGTGTAGCGAGAGCTGTGTAGATCAGGGAGTGTCTGGAATGCACAGTTACCAAGCACACATACTGAGTCTAACACAGGGAGGTTGAGCAACACCTCCTGAACATCCACTCACTGAGAGCCTCAGAGACGCCATCCTCACCTGTATCTACAGGGTAGTGCTGGACTGCACTGACACAATTCAGCATCATTCAAAATTCAATATTTTTTCTTAATATATTTTGGTATGACAGCATTAACAAAGCTACTGAGCACAAAGTATTTTATGCTAAAAGAATGTCTTGCGTATCTGACATGCGGCTCTTAAAATGACACCGAAAGAAACTTTATACTCCTGCAGGAATGCAGACCTCTAACACAAGGTGTAACGCGTACGCTTTAGACAGGACTGTGAGGTGTTTATCATACTTACCTATTTTGAGTTCAGGGAATACAAGTCAGTGGGTCACAGAGGTGCAAGGCCACAGGCTCAGGGTGAGGGGAGAGGAATGGCAGCCTCTGCTCATACTGCAAAAGAACCACATGCACAAACATTATCATCCTCATCATCATAATCTGAGTAATTGATGAATTGCAATTCTTTTTTCCAAGATTTTCCCTTGATATTTTGAACCCCTTACAGCGATACTCTGTATTACTATCCACTGCTATAGTTTAAAGTGGATGAACACCAGCTTAACGTTCCAATGGTACCTACGAAAGGCAAGTAAATGTTGTAAGGCTACTTCTACACCTTTTATACCGAACTTGCCATTTGCTACATGGAAGACCTGCAACCAGCTCCTACTGTCTTTAAGATGGTTGTGTAAACACTCCGTTTGGAGCACCAACTATGATGTAGTGGTGTCATGGTTCTCGATCTAGAACAAAATCTGCGTTTTGACAGGCTGCGCTTCGGCTTACGGCTGAGAGACCGCATGTTCGATCACAGACCACACAGGCTACTGATGGACAGCCAACACTTCTAGCAATGTTCGTTGCCAAACTGTCCCCTCCCTCTGACTGTGCTCAAGCAATGACAAAAGCGACAGGTCTTTTCACTGCGTTAGACAATGCTAATACTACTACTACCATTACTACTACTGCTAAAAATAATCTGTTTTTTTTTTTTTTTTATATAGCACCTTTCACAGTTTCAGTTTCACAGCCTTTCGGCTTTATTTACTAATGAGGGGTTCCAATCAAATGTTCTCGAGGCCCAGAATGAAATTCCAAGCACATCACATTTTAGTGCATACATGAAGCCAAAGATGTACCAGGAAACAAAGGCAGATCTTTGTGAGGATCTGTGTAAGGCACAGCTCACTGCTATCACAGTAGCTGCTCATCTCAGTTTGTTCTACTAGCTACTCTCTTGAAAAAAGCACAAAATGAAAACCGAGTGATGGTTAGATTAATTTCACTTGATGTTTACATTTAATTTGCTTGCTCTTTACATATTTTTTTGCATATCAGTACAACTGTTCTACCTCTTGATATTAACATTTTTTATTGCAGTTGATACTTTGTTCTACTTGCTGGTGTTTACATTTGTTTTCACTTGTTTTGCAACAATTCTGTAAAAGAGGAACTTTTAGAAGTAATTCCTTTCATTTTCTTTTTGAGAACACTTCCAGGTTGTGTTTGCACATCTTGCATTAAACTTACATGTAATAAAAAAAAACAGGTTCAAACTGAACTGTGGCCCAGAAACCAACGTCTAAACCAAACCGAGAAAGGGGTGAATCGTTACACCTCTACTAAGATCCAACTGCGACCTGCTAAAGCACTGTGATTTACACAGTCAGGGGTCTAGATTCTGAACAAGCATGCATATTGGTTCACAGATGCTGAGAAGACCAACTACTTAGGTAACTGAATGGCATGGAATTTTTTGATACTTCGTAGCATAAAACTAGTTTGGTTGACAGTTTAGCATAAAGGTATCGGATTCTGAGTCATCCTTAAACATGAGGGGCACCGTATCACAAGCTTTTTGGCAATATCAATGCTGAACATCATCCTCCTCCTTTCCTGTTAATTGCAAACAAAACATTTACAAAAAGCAAACATCTGAGCCTAGCCCTGTTTTTACACCTTATTTGTTTGCTTAAGTCCAAACCAGAGACTTTTTCATTTGGTTTGACTGGTTCCACACGGCGACGGTTAAAGCACGTACTGTCCCCCTAAAAACTTACCACCGCGCGTGTAGTCACGTCACTTCGCTACGTCCAGTCTGAGACATGGGAGCTAAGGCTGTGTTCACACAGCAGGTAAAAGTGGCCCAAATCTGATTTTCTGACCAAATCCGATTTTTTTTGTTTGGCTGGTTACAATATCTTTTAAATAAGATCTGTATGTGACATCAGTCTGAACAGATCGGCTCCTAAACTGACCTGCATGCGCAAAAGAACAATGCGTCACGTTGCTTCACGTGGCTTTCTTTCAAAATCTCTTCAAACACTGTTTTGGATGAGTCTCTTCTTATTTTGAACAGAAATATCACCACAAATGTTTATTAGGTCTCAGCAGCACGAAATTATGACGAATGTCGAATTGGATGAACGTAAAAGCAGTGAATTCCGATCTGGCTGTCGAAACAATTTACATTAAGATATGCAGAGCATATTCACAGTACAAACCTTGTCAGTGAAGTATGAGGGCAAAAAAACTAACAAAAAAAAAACAAAATAATCGTTCATTAATTGTAATCGAGGTAAAATATTCAATTAATCGTGATACTGATTTGAGGTCATATCGCCCAGCACTACACAATGTTTATTAGTCAGAAATGCTGCCGGGATACAAGTGTTCTGTTTGGGCTCACATTTGCCACTATCTGATCCTAAGAACTCAGAATTTGCATGAAAACAGACACTTTAGAAAGTGTCACCTCACTTGACCTTACTGCTTCTATATGACTGGTTTGTCATTTTATCAAATCTGTCAAAATAGGCAGATTGTGCAGGCAGTGCAGCCCTGACATGCTGCTAGAAGAAGCAGTAAAGTATGCTCTGATGTTGAGTTCACTTGGTGCAAACTAACACAAAACTGCGTTCTCACCAGCAGTGAACTAAATCAGGGTTCTTTTAGAAGCAAACCGAGACCCGTGATTTTTTTGTGGATTACTTGTCTGGTGCGCACCCAAGTACGGGTGGAGTGTTCAAACCCATCAAAACAGACCAAACTAAATAAAAAGTTCACTAGGTCCACACCAAACGAGGCTGGTGTGAAAGCATCCTAAGATTTGCACAAGGAAGCTTCCGCCCAAAACAATCTCAAATCTCGGCCAATAATGAAAGAAGTAAAGTCAATGGGGATCAGTTAGCATAACGCATTCTGCACAATAAAACTCAAAAATGGCTTATGATAGATATCCCCAGAGATGCTGGCTTCTGTCCAACTTACAGAGGCCAAATTTACACACGCAGCGTCACAGAAGAGACTAATTACCAAAGGCTGAGTGAGAGAGTGACATCATCTCGGTGTGCCGGTGTTTGGTGGGATTGTAACGGGAGAGCTCAGCCCGAAGCCCTCTTGTCCTTCTTGTTAAGCTGGTAAACTGAAACTTCCTCCCACTGCACAACACATCAAAGCCAGGTGGCCTGCCAAGTTTCCTTTTCTGGAAGAGACGCAGCCAATGCCACCGGCACTCCTAAGACACACCACCACTGAGTGTATAACAGGAGCACAAAAGGGATTTAAAGAGAGAGAGGTGGAGGGAGTGAAGGGATAGAGAAGAGGACGGAGGATAACGCGGATGAGGGATGTGGGCAAGAGGGCCATGGAGAGAGGCAGATGGATGGGATTAGTGGATTACGCGTGGGCAATAGCTAGCTAATTCAATCCCAATCCCACACTTTACGTCTAAGCAAAAGTGAAATGTTCGATCATTTCCCAGTTCAATCCTTCTAAAGCATCACTATTGGAGCTGAATTTTGGGAAAATATCTAATTGGCGTTGTTCTGATCAACATTGCAACTAATTAATTTCTGTAAATTTTCTCCAGGGGGATTTTTTGCCAAGAAGACCAGCACATCCATTTTTTTGGGCTTGAGGCTTGAACACTGAATGTAGTTTGCCAGACTGACAGTTCACAAGCTCTGCATTATTAGATTACATTTCTCCACTTGAAAACTGTTAACATTAAACCTGCAGCTCTCCTGACCTGAAAATTTAATTTATATTATTAATTTTATTTTAAAAATAATTTATTTTATAGACAGTGTCTGAGTGCAATAGACAGCTGGTCAGATACTAAAAATTGCGCTTTTTAAGATGACAATAGCACAACTACAACAATGCACCACATCAAAAGCAAACATCTGCACACAATTCAACAAAGAACTGTTTCATACATGTTCTCTGAGAGAACAGCGGTGTGAGGAAAAACACATGTGGGTGTGCAAAACTATACAGACGTTCAAGATGAACGACTGTGGCTTTTAAGTGCTACTGAGGTACACAGAGACAATAACTGAACAGGTTTGGTTCTGGCCAACTAAAGCACTGACACAAGTTCAGACAGACATAATAATGCTTCAAACCTGAATGAGTGACTGGTGATAAAGGGGCAGAAAGACAAAATTAAACCAGTTTCTTGGTGTTTGGATCTGTAGCTTCACTTAATGTTAGCTTAGCAAGCGGGCTACAAACTTAAACAATGCCACACATCACACTACATGTTTCATTCTGACTAATCGGTGCTGAAACTAGTGTAGATGATAAAAACTAATGTCTAAGAGAGCAAAAGTCAAGTGACAAGTGTTGGAGTGACAGAATTCAAACATGTTCCTTGGTGTTTGGGATTGTAGCTTTTGGCCAAAAGTGCCCCTCATCACAGAACAGGCTTGGTTCCAGCCAACTGATGCTAAAATGACACCCATTTAGAGGATATCATAGAGCGTGAAGTCAGGTGACTGGTGTTGAAGTGAAAGCTGAAATGGAGCACATTCTATGTGTGTGTAGGTTTTTCCTGACTCCTTTATTCTATCAACGCCACCTATCAATGAGCCACAGATCAGTGACCTCACCAAAATATAAATGGGTGGAATGTGTTTATTTGACCACTCAGACATGAAAAGACGTGGGACCATCATCATGTTTAAATACTACAGTATATCTTACTACTTTTATGCCGCCTAACCCTCGTTATTGGACAAAAGAACCAAAATGTGCATCCCTCCAACACACTGATGCACTCTAGTTTGACAGCTCGTCTGCACAGCTTTAGGTAGAGTTAAGCTCTCGATTCGGGTTGGATGAGAGAAGAAAGTGCTCGAGCGTGCGAGTCGTGGACTGTGTGCTCCTGCATCCCGTGGTGAGTGGCACAGGCAAGTGCAGGCTGTTGGCAAGAGTTGGCTTAGACAGCTATCACGTTCTGCTGGCTACACACTCCGCACATCTCCTGGATCAGTTTCAGTGAGAGTAAGGAGAGTTGGTGGGGGGGGGCTCTGCTGAGCTGGAGATCAAAATATGGCGGGTGGAGACAGGGACTGTTGCATGAAATTCAGAGAGAGAAGAGCCTT